CTATATATATATATATATATATATATATATATATACATGAAATATATTTTTTAGTGATATTGTAACTAAATTATTGTAATTGTAAATAACTTTTGCTTGATTGATTGGCTGATTGACATACAATGTAACTTTAATATTTTTTTTTTTCAATTTGTAATGATGCTTTTTGGATTGGTGCCGTATTGTAATATTGCGTTTTTGTTTTTTTTGTTTTTCATTTTATTTATTGAAAATACAGTCTTTTCAGCAATATGCTGCCCTCTATTTTTGTATGTTTTTATACCCTCATTAAACATTTTCTTGATTTACTTTTGTATGTCATATATAGCCAATGAGTAGGCTCCTGCTACTCTAAATATTTTATTTGTTATCCGTCATATTTAAATTTGAATTTTATTCTGGATCAAGTCATCGAACTCATTTGGATCTGTGGGCCGATTCACTGCTCCTTCTATATTTATATATTCCAATCTTAATAGGATTCAAATGCGTTTTTGTTTATTATGCTAATACTCAGTAACGTATTATGAATACGGTTGTGTCGCTGTTTCTTAATACTGATTCAGGGCACAGTTAAGTTTATGAAAATCCGCTGATTGGTTGGTGTCCTAATTTGCATACATTATTCGCTGTGAGGTCTTATTAAATGTTTCATTATCTCGTTTTTTTCACTTACATCTTAGCAGATGAGTGTTACCATTCCTTTATAACGAACGTCAAAGTCATGCAATTTTAATTCTGTACGTTATCGTTAGTTACAAGTATAATACCAACATTATGGTTCTAACGAAAGGCAACGTATTTGATCTCGGGAATGTTTTCATCTTATCGGTAATTTCCCTCTCGTATTGTGGTAGGTGTACATTATTTTCTTATACTATTCTGTTAAAATATGGTCATCAAACTTAATCTCAGCAAAGTGCGTTGTTATTGCCAATGAAATTGTGTTTATTATGATCAGGGTTACTATTATTATACTATAACCAAATATTTATGTTTATTATTATCATCATTATTTTATCATAATTATTTTTTATTTTCATTATTAGGTATTGTAATTGATATTTGTTTATTATTGCACGGTAATTATTAGTGTTGTTATTGTAAGTCATCAGTCCTAAGTTTGGTTTTAGTATAAAACTCAACTCAGCAAATGAAATATGTCGCCGCAGATATGTTGCAGGGTGTGCATTCTGAAAGCTATTGCATGAAGATGAAACTGTTATCTGGTTATTATATGACTTTAGTCATCACCAAGTAACTTGTATAACAACTTTATAAGCATGGGGAGATCCAAAAATGGGAAACCGGATAGTGCATGATTGCAGGATGATAAGTTCGTCTCCGACTTGATAAGTTTTGTAGCAAAGTCATAATTGATTTATGTGTGTGTTTTGTAGACAGATGCCCAGATTCGTGGGATCCATTCCAAAGGAGTTGTTATAAAGTGTTTGCACAGACAGTAAATTGGACTGATGCGCTGACAAACTGTGAATCGGAGGGAGCAAGTTTGTTGGCGATATCATCATCAGAAGAAAGAAACTTTGTTCGTGATCTCCGCTACCAAAAATACGGTTATTGTGTGAATACTTGGATTGGTTTTAATGACAGAGAGAATCAAGGTGTGTGGAAATGGACGACTAACAGTGCGACACAGTACACAGGTTAGGAATACAAAGTATTGTATTTATCTCATAATTGCCAGGATCGAAACGTAATGTGGTGTTTTTAATAGTCATATGATAGATATTAAATTTCAAGTTCAGCTGAAAGGATTTTCAACTGAAAGGATTCTATCAGTAACAACAATATACTTGTATTGCATAATTGCGAGTCTCTAAAAATAGCACACTTTATGACGGAAGAGAAAAATCACCTTCGTCGATAAGTGTTTGTATGGACTAATTGACGCAAAATCAGTGCCCGAACATTGCTTTATAAATAAACGCTATCAAGTCATTTGAATATTTAAACACTAATACGTAAGAACTTTGGCCTGCAAAAACTCCATAGGCAAAGAATTTCCTAACATCTGAGCTTGTCTTTGTCTTGATTTTGTAATTTTGGACACTCTACAAACTGCTTTATATAAATATAAATATATATATATATATATATATATATTATATATATATGGATGTATATAAATATATTGAAATTCAATTCAATCGAAAAACTAGAATATTTATTGCAATGCGACAGGCTGATTATTATTAGCGCAATAATATTAAATTAATTTATATATATTATCAATATATATGACAATAATAATATTGATAATAATAATTAATATTAATTACATTGGAGGTGCCATTAGTTCTTGTTATGTGTATTTTCATTCTTTCCCTCGCCAGATTGGTTACCAGGTCAACCAAATGATGTATCTGAACATTGTGCTGTAATCATATGTAGCGGGATCGACAAGAATTGGCAAGATTATCCTTGCAGTCACTACTTCAATTTTTACGTTTGTGAAATAGGTAACTTGATCATAAAGCTACATATACAAAGACACTTATATTTTCAAGGTCATAGGTTAGAAAATTAACTAAACAATGTTTAACATGGTAAGTGTTAAGAACTACACCACTCCATAAGCCTTCGAGTGAGATGCTAAAAGCAAGGTATTTTAATTAGGAGTCATTGGCTAGAGAGCATTATCTACCTTTGTGGGTGGTGACACACTGTTAGAAGAGAAGTAAAAGTGAATAAACAATATGTAAATCGCAGCTCTGTTTTGAATGAAGCCTAAAATAAATATTATGAATATATCTTAAGAAACAAATAAAAATCGATAACAATGGCCAAGATTTCACAGATATATAAACTTAGATATAAATTACGAAAACACCGAAGGACTCATATATATTGTATATTCTGTGACATTTGACAATGTACCAGGTTAAATGTTATAAATATACTTGTAGTCAATTCGACTATAAGTGGTAAAATTTGATAAGGCACAGAGAATATAATTATTGGACAATATTGAACATTTCTCTAAATACCTAATTTGTGTCTATTAATTTAGAACAACATTCGTCTTTTGCAAGAAAAGTTTCTGGTAAAGCAGGACAGGCAGCTTGCTTAGTTCCCTACGCCTTAGCCGATTTCACCCTGGATAGTAAAGCGACAAGAAGTTTAGCTCACTGTTTTCAATTCTGCATCTCGATTGGCCAGTGCAAGGCGTTCCAAATTCAGCAAATGCCAAACAAGGTAATGTGTAACGCGTTAAGTGACGAAGGGGCACCGACGCAGTATGAACACCAGCCACTTAATTGCAATCTATTTGTAATCAAACGATAATTCAGTTTGCACTCACTATTGTATAAATCATATGCATACATAGGACAAATATATTCATATGTATAAATATGAAAAGAACGAAATGGTAAAATAATTAAATAATTAATTAAATTAATTAATTATTAATTGTTAAAATAATTGTTAATTGTTTGTTTGTTTTGTTTGTTTGTTTTATTGTTTTTTTACCACACACACATAAAATATTAATTAATCAACGATAAATATTACAATTGAAATTACAAAGAAAAAGAGTGTGCGGTAGGAGGTCAAAATAAGTTTGTAAACAAACTTTAAGACATGACCACCAATAATAATAAATACTAAAATAAATAAATAATAATTCTTAATAATAATAATAGCAATAATGATAATATTAATAATAATAGCAACAATAGTAATAATAATGACAATAATAACAATAATAATAATAACAATATATTATACATATATATAAACATACACACACAAACACACATACATATGCCCACAAACGCACCGCCACATACATGCAAGCATACACACACATACACATATAAATATAATATAAAATAGTACGGTAGATACGTTAGTCTGGATTGCGATTACATAAAATAATGATAGTCATAGCAAAAATAAGTCAATAATTACAGTAAGGTGGTAATATTACAAGTAATATAATAAGTAATTTAACAAGAGGCTTAACAAGAGGCTTACCTGCCATATACTGAGACCAGCAATTTTTTAAGTTTGGTTTTAAAGAAAGAAAGATTGGGGATATTTTTTAACGTAATAGTTAAAGAGTTTCACAATTTAGGACCATTGTAGAAGATTGCATTTTTTCGATGAAGAGATGTGTATATTTCAAACAAAACATTACTTTTAGAAAATCTTGTTTTATAATATGTATATCTGATTGCTGTTTGGGAAATAATGAAACAATGTATTTAGGTAGTGTATTATTTTTAAAACGATACATAAACTTATAAGTTTGCAGCTTATATAAATCAAAAACATTAAGAATATTAAATTTGTAAAATAAAGGTTTTGTATGTGATATGCGGGATGAACCTGCACAAATCCTAAGAGCACGTAAAGAAATTTGTCAATAGTAGTAGCCCAGGAGATATTACAATAATTGATATATGGTAAAAACTAAAGTATTATATAAAGATAGGAGAATGCGTTGTAAAAAAAAAATAATAATTTGCTCATAACACCAATGTTTCTGGAAATAATATTGGAAATGTTATTACGGTGGGGTTGCCAGGATAGCTTATAATCTACAGTACGCCTAGAAATTTTGTTTCATTTACTTGTTTATTGTCATCGATTTTAATAGTGAAAGAGTCCATCTCTTTTACTTCATAATTGAAGAAAATGAAATTTGTCTTGGTAATATTAAGAGACAATTTATTTAATTTGAACCAATTAGAAACTTTTTGTAATTCAATATAATTGATAATTTTAAAGAGTTCAGTTTTATTTTTATGGGAATAAAATATATTGGTGTCATCCGCATAAAGAACAAAATTAAATAATGACTATTAGGAAGATCATTAATATATATTAAGAATAATAAAGGTCCAAGTATGGATGCTTGCGGAACACCAAACGTAAGAAAAAGTAGAGTTACATGAATTAACTGAGACAAATTGTTTCCTATTGCTAAGGTAGTTTCTAAATAAATGAAGAGCAAGGCCTCTGATACCGCAACATTTGAGTTTCATTAAAAGAATTTCATGGTCAATTGTATCAAAAGCCTTACTTAAATAAAGAAAAATGCCAACTGTAAATTCATTATTATTAATAGCTTTAGTAATTTAGTCATTAATATCAACAAGAGCAAGATCTGCAGAAAATGTTTTTCTAAAACCATATTGACGATTATAAAGAATATTGTGTTTAGTTAAAAAATTAGTTAACCTATTGTAAATTAATCGTTCAAAGATTGTTGAAAAACAAGGTAAGAAGGAAATAGGTCTATAATTAGTGAATAAATGAGTGTCATCTTTTTTAAAAATAGGAACTACCTTGGCAATCTTGAGTAAATCAGAGAAAATTCCTTTGGCAAGGCACAAATTAAAAATATGGGATAAAGGTTTAGAAATTAATGTAGATATGGATTTAATAGCATTGTTTGATATGTCATCACATCACATCCTGGACTTTTATTGTTTCTCAATTTTTTAATGATATTTAGGATTTCATCTTCAGAAGTAGGTACAAGAAAAAAGAATCTCTCAATGACGGATTTGGTAAGATGTAAAGTGCTGGTTAGTCGATGTTTTGATGAGCTTTGAAAGATTTGGTCCGATGTTTACAAAGTAATCATTAATATTGCTCGCAATATCGAATGGGTCTGTAACTGTAGAGCCTTTGTGTAGAAAATATGAGGGAAGAGTTTTTTGTATATTGCGTCCCAAGACTGAATTTATAGTTTGCCATGTCTTTTGTAAATTGCCTTTGTATAAATTAAACTTTTCATTATAATGTTTTTACGAGAAATTCTTAGAAGGTTTGTTAATTTATTTCTATATATAACGTATTTGTCTTTATCTAATTGTTTTTTAGATTTAATATATTTTTTATAAAGTTTGTTTCTTTTATCTGTTAATAATTGTTAATGTTTGTTAATTATTGTTAATTTTTAATTTTCCATTAGGACGTGTAATTTTCTATACATCATAGAGGTATCATGTGTAAACACCATATATTTTGTGAAACAAATGCTTGTAGGTTTTGATCAAACGATAATTCAGTTTGCACTGACTATTATGTAAATCATATTCATACATAGGACAAATATATTCATATATATTCATATGAAAAAGACGAAATGTTAAAATAATTGTTAATTAAAAATTAATTAATTGTTAAAATAATTGTTAATTCTTAATAATTGTTAATTTGCCATTAGGACGTATAATTTTATATACACCATGGAGGTATGTGTAAACACCATATTTTGTGGAACAAATGCTTGTAGGAGGAAGAAGCAGGTACCAGAAGAGTCCAAATTTGCCAATAATATATTAATCTTAAGTAGATCAAATAAGTTTATGTGGACTTGTGGGTAGAATAGAGGGAGTACCAGGTGTAACAACATTCAGCTATGGTGAGCCTGAAGTAAAAAAAGTGATAGCTCTAAATGCCCAGAAAAAAACGGTGTTATAAATAGTGTTAATTTGACAGTAGTGCGTACATTAAATATATTTTAGTGAAAAGATAGACGTGATGGCCAAGTAGGAGCATTTACATTCTCCTCAACATAGTTGGGGCCGAGCTGAGTTGAAAAGGTAGGGATGCGGCAACATCCGGAAATTGCACTCTTAGACTTAAATTAGAATAGAGGGAGTACCAGGTGTAACAACATTCAGCTATGGTGAGGCTGAAGTAAAAAAAGTGATAACTCTAAATGCCCAGAAATGAAAAAAAAACGGTGTTATAAATAGTGTTTATTTGACAGTAGTGCGTACATTAAATATATTTTAGTGAAAAGATAGACGTGATGGCCAAGTAGGAGCATTTACATTCTCCTCAACATGGTTGGGGCCGAGCTGAGTTGAAAAGGTAGGGATGCGGCAACATCTTAGACTTAAATTATTTCTTAAGTGTCTTAATTTCACTTTTTAAACTCGTTCAATTGTACTTAGATCAAATAAGATTTTGTGAAATTGTACATCAGTTTCAGTTTCAGTTAATTTTCCAAAAACTTCCATATGTTCATGTACTGAACAATGAAAGGATGTCCAACAAAAGAGCAGAGCTCATACACCATTGGCCACCTAAACAAAATTATTAACAATTACACGAACATGACGTGATACATGAAAACAGTGACAAAAACATGTTAGCAGGATATGAACTATATAAATGTATGTATGAATGTAAATATATAAAGGATCCTTATTGATACGTTAACAACAAATAATTGTTTTACATCATTTTGAACATTTTGACAGATACTGAAATACGAATAGAAGCATCAATATTATTTCATAAAATCGGACCATGCCTTCAGATAGTATTTCTGGCCATATTGGTAACAAAAGTATGTGGACGGTACATATCAGAGGACCTTAATCATGAACTGAATTTACTCTAACAAAATAATTCGAAAAAATTAACTGGTCATAAATTATTTTTAAATTTATTCATAAAAACACCTTTGGATAACTTATGAATGTCATACAGAGTTAAATTATTAAGACTGGCAAATCATGGTGGTGAATGTTCATGAAATTGTGAATCTGTACATAGACGCATGCGCTTTTGCTTGCGATAAATTATTATGGTCAGCCCAAATCACATTACAATATTGGATATGAGAAAGAACTAAGGTCTTATATAAAGATGATAAAACATTGGCTTTAGTCTGAAGAGAATACCAGAATATTTTGAAACTAAATTTGCAATATAAGTTGTATGTTGATTCTAAGTTAAACATTCATTATTAAACCAAGATATTTGCAGCTAGTAACAGGCAAGATATTATTACCATCTATAGCAATATTAAGACTCTTGTAAGTACGGTTACTATATCTATTTCTGAAAATCATATAGTTGGACCAGCATGAAATAATCAAAAGATCGAAATTAACAGTATAAACTAGAGAGTTTAAATTATCATCAGAAATTAATAAATTTGTGTCGTCGACGAATAAAATAATATTTGAGTGTTTACATATGTAGGCTAAGTCATTTATGTAAATAATAAAACATAAAGGGCCTAAAATTGAGCCTTGGGGGACACCACAACAAGTATTTAAAAATTATAACTTATGATAGTTAAAAGAAAAAAATAACTGTTGAACCACTCAAAGGCGATACCACGAATATATTGATGCAGTTTACAGAGTGGAATCTTGTGATTTATGGTAACAAATGCCTTTGAGAGGTCCAAGAAAATTCCAAAAACATGTTTCCTCTCATTAGGTTCGGAAATAATGTTATCATATGCCTGTAAAACAGCCATTTTAGTAGACATATTTGGGCGAAAGCCAAATTGGTTTTTATGCAATAGATTATGTCACGTCGAGAAAGATAGTTATAGAGTCTTTTATGAATAATGCGTTCTAAAATTTTGGAGAAAACGGGAAGGACTGAGATGGGCCTTTAGTTACCAAAGGTATCAGTCTCCCAACTATTGTAAACAGGAGTTATCTTGGCAATTTTCAGTTTCTCTGGAACGATTCCAGTAGTTAAGGAAAAATTATAAATGTGAACAAGTGGAGGTGCTATTAGTTCACCAACTGATTTATCAAAATCAGGCTTGATATCATCAAAGCCGCTACTAACACCAGATTCCAAATTTCTAACTATTGAGAGTATTTCATCTGTATCAGTTGGTGGAAAAAAGGAAAGATCTAAGTGGATATTTAATTTATTCATGAAATTTTTGAAAGTAATATCAGGCTGAGGAATTTTATGCGAATATTCAGGACAAATTAAAAAAAAATATTTATTAAAATTATCAACAATAATTTGAGGATCAAAAATTTGTATATCGTTTATTTTATAAAAAGATGAGATTGGTTTAATCTTATTTAGTCGATCCATAATGCTGTTAATAATATTCCACGTTTGTTTTGAATTAAACTTTGTTTCCTCTAGCTTTCTGGCATAGTATTGTTGTTTAGAATTTCTGATTAAAGAAGCAAGCTGATTACGATAATTAACATAGGAAGTTTTGTTAAATTCAGTAGGGTTGTTTACATACTTTTTATACAGCTTTCCTGAGTTTGTGGCTAACACGAACTTACCTCTAACGTGGCTAACACGAACTCAGCAAAACTATGGGTATACATAAAAAACCTCAAAAAATATTTTATTAAGTTTAGATCCCGAGTTTGAGATTCCCGGCATCAAGTGGTCAATCGGAAAGAGCATTTGGTCCGGTGCTTCCAATCTTCCTCCCCTTCGTCCGACCATCTAAGATCTACAATATAATACAATAATACATGCCATAACAAAGAATCTACATTTCCATAATGTTTCGAAGCTATAAAGTTACATTTTACATTACACACAAGCAAGGGTAAGTACAGTAATAATCAATGTACTTGCACATTTAATTATTAAGAACCAAAGAAAAAAAAACATGAAAACTCACATTCACGATCTTATGCCCGCTTCGTGTTGGTTTTGGGTCTGTCCTGTAACATCGTCACACCAGTAGGTGTAACCGAGCCACAGTACCCGAGATACCATACAACACACAGAAATGTACGGCACAGCATATAAGACACACGCATTACCCAGCCAATCCCGCACGCAGCCGTTCCACTCAACAAAACAATAAAGCAATACAATGATTAGATACATAAAAATACACGTAAACAACTTATGTCAAGTATACGGTCTCGGAATTATAATGCAGTTTCCCAAATTTTGTCATTTCCTTTGAATATTATTTGCTGGACGAGCATGTAAGACTATCAATTAGGCCTATCTCTATCACATTAACAATTACAATCAACACTTCAAGGCAATGCAATAATAACTGGTTATAACAATAATAACAATAATAATAATAGTAATAAACAAATATAGGAATAATAAGAATAATACTCATCGCTTATAACTTCTCAGAATTTGTTAGCCACGTTGAAGAGCCACGTGTAATCCCATTCTTTTGTGGAATACGACGAGGAGAATTCTTGGATTGCTTAAAAGAAAAAGGAAAGTTCATACTGTAGACCTCTGTGAATTTACGAATGAATACGTTATACGCAAGATTAGAAGAACCAGGCCAGTAATACAGGTCCAATCAGTGCTCAGATCGTTATAAAAATTATGAACGCTAGTTTGGTTAAATAAACGGGTAGTGATCTTATTCGAGGTAGGCCTACTGATATTACTAATGAGATTGGGTTTGGTGATTTGGTAAATTGGATAATGATCAGAGATATCGGCGACAACAATACCTGATTTGATATTATGGGGAAAAATATTGGTAAAAATATTATCAAAGAGGCTGTAGTAGGTGATATTCTGGTTGGTCTGTCGATAAGAGGAAACATGTTATGGGTATAAAAAAAAGAAAGAAACTTATTTATAGTGTCATTTTCATTGGAATGCAACAGGTGAAAATTAAAGTCACCTATCAGACAGTTCGAAAGAAATCTGTCAGTATTAGTACGATGTGCACGATAAATATTACCAACAATAAGTTTTTTCCTACCAGGAAATAGTTTCAGAATGGTCTATATGATCTGATGGTTGGTCGATCAATATTAGATCATTCCTGATTCGAAACGATATTGTTTTATGAACATTTATAGCAACACCTCCACTTCTTCTTTCACAAAGAGATGCATTAATTAAATTATAGTTATTTATATAAATTTCATTGGAACCATCCTCTTTAAACCATGTTTCTGAGAGTGCTATAATCAAAAAGGTGTGATTTAAACTTGTAAGGAACGCAGTAATCTGATCGACATTTTTATTGAAAGTGCGTGAGTTTATATGCAAAATTGAAAAATCATGCTCATCACATGAAACTGAGATCAACATTGTAAGAACACGAATGGGATATATCCGGTATATGATCATATGCCTATAGAAAAATGTGTATAGGTATATCCATTTATTAATTATATCTATATTATGTATATTATGTACATTTATTTATATATATCCATATATTCATTTATTAATTATATCTATATTATGTACATTAATTTATATATCCGTATATTCATTTATTAATTATATCTATATTATGTACATTATTTATATATCCGTTTATTATTTGATACATTTTGGAATCATTTGAACAGATTGCATGTAAAGTGTGGTCTGAATTAAAATTCTCATTTTTTTGTGTGTTAGACTTGATGTATGAATGGTGTACCAGGGAAGAGTAAAAAATTCACTGTTCTCTGGGTGTACTTGTTAATATTTTCCACTGTTGTATTAGGCGAGCAAAAATAAAATTATCTGTAGTTGTTATTGTAAGTCATCAGTCCTAAGTTTGGTTTTAGTATAAAACTCAACCGACCTTCAGCAAATGAAATATGTCGCCGCAGATATGTTGCAGGGTGTGCATTCTGAAAGCTATTGCATGAAGATGAAACTGTTATCTGGTTATTATATGACTTTAGTCATCACCAAGTAACTTGTATAACAACTTTATAAGCATGGGGAGATCCAAAAATGGGAAACCGGATAGTGCATGATTGCAGGATGATAAGTTCGTCTCCGACTTGATAAGTTTTGTAGCAAAGTCATAATTGATTTATTTGTGTGTTTTGTAGACAGATGCCCAGATTCGTGGGATCCATTCCAAAGGAGTTGTTATAAAGTGTTTGCACAGACAGTAAATTGGACTGATGCGCTGACAAACTGTGAATCGGAGGGAGCAAGTTTGTTGGCGATATCATCAGAAGAAGAAAGAAACTTTGTTCGTGATCTCCGCTACCAAAAATACGGTAATTGTGTGAATACTTGGATTGGTTTCAATGACAGAGAGAATAACGGTGTGTGGAAATGGACGACTAACAGTGCGACACAGTACACAGGTTAGGATACAAATTATTGTATTTATCTCGTAATAATAATGTGGTGTTTTTAAGTCATATGATAGATAATAAATTTCAGTTGAAAGGATTTTCAACTGAAAGGATTCTATCAGTAACAACATTATACTTGTATTGCATAATTGCGAGTCTCTAAAAGTAGCACACTTTATGACAGAAGAGAAAAATCACCTTCGTCGATAAGTGTTTGTATGGACTAATTGACGCAAAATCAGTGCCCGAACATTGCTAATACGTAAGAACTTTGGCCTGCAAAAACTCCATAGGTAAAGAATTTCCTAAAATCTGAGCTTGTCTTGGTCTTGATTTTGTAATTTTGGACACTCTACAAACTGCTTTATATACATACATATATATACATACATATATATATATACATACATATATATACATACATAAATTATATATACATACATATATATACATACATACATATATATAGGTATATATATATATATATATATATATATATATATAGAAATTTAATCGAAAATATTGATAATTATGACAATAATAATATTGATAATAATAATTAATATTAATTACATTGGAGGTGCCATTAGTTCTTGTTATGTGTATTTTCATTTTTTCCCTCGCCAGATTGGTTACCAGGTCAACCAAATGGTGTATCTGAACATTGTGCTGTAATCATATGTAGCGGGATCGACCAGAATTGGCAAAATTATCCTTGCAATCACTACTTCAATGTTTACGTTTGTGAAATAGGTAACTTGATTATAAAGCTACATATACAAAGACACTTATATTTTCAAGGTCATAGGTTAGAAAATTAACTAAACAATGTTTAACATGGTGAGTGTTAAGAACTACACCACTCCATAAGCCTTCGAGTGAGATGCTAAGAGCAAGGTATTTTAATTAGGAGTCATTGGCTAAAGAGCATTATCTACCTTTGTGGGTGGTGACACACTGTTAGAGGAGAAGTAAAAGTGAATAAACAATATGTAAATCGCAGCTCTGTTTTGAATGAAGCATAAAATAAATATTATGAATATATCTTAAGAAACAAATAAAAATCGATAACAATGGCCAAGATTTCACAGATATATAAACTTAGATATAAATTAGGAAAACACCGAAGGACTCATTCAAATGTTTAAACAATCACCACCCCCGGCCAGTTCAAACCTAAATGATGAATGAAAGATGTATGAAATAATAGACCTATAATGTATTGTATATTCTGTGACATTTGACAATGTACCAGGTCAAATGTTATAATTATACTTGTAGTCAATTCGACTATAAGTGGTAAAATTTGATAAGGCACAGAGAATATATTATTGGACAATATTGAACATTTCTCTAAATACCTAATTTGTGTCTATTAATTTAGAACAACATTCGTTTCTTGCAAGAAAAGTGTCTGGTAAAGCAGGACAGGCAGCTTGCTTAGTTCCCTACGCCTTAGCCAATTTCACCCTGGATAGTAAAGCGACAAGAAGTTTAGTTCACTGTTTTCAATTCTGCATCTCGATTAACCAGTGCAAGGCGTTCCAAATTCAGCAAATGCCAAACAAGATAATGTGTAACGCGTTAAGTGACGAAGGGGCACCGACGCAGTATGAACACCAGCCACTTGATTGTAGTCTTTTTTTGATCAAACAATAATTCAGTTTGCACTCACAATTGTATAAATCATATATATGAAAATGTATTCATATGTATACATATGAAAAGGACGAAATGTTAAAATAATTAAATAATTATTTAAATTAATTAATTATTAATTGTTAAAATAATTGTTAATTGTTAATAATTCTTAATTTTAATTTGCCATTAGGACGTGTAATTTTATATACACCATGGAGGTATCATGTGTAAACACCATATATTTTGTGAAACAAATGCTTGTAGTTTTTGATCAAACGATAATTCAGTTTGCACTCACTATTATGTAAATCATATGCATACATAGGAAAGATATATTCATATGAAAAAGACGAAATGTTAAAATAATTGTTAATTAAAAAGTAATTAATTAATTGTTAATTGTTAATAATTTTTAATTGTTAATTTGCCATTAGGGCGTGTAATTTTATATACACCATGGAGGTATGTGTAAACACCATATTCTATGAATCAAATGCTTGTAGGAGGAAGAAGCAGGTACCAGAAGAGTCCAAATTTGCCAATATTATGTTCAATCTCAAGTAAATCAAATAAGTTTATGTGGACTTGTGGGGTAAAATAGAGGGAGTACCAGATGTAACAACATTCAGCTATGGTGAGGCTGAAGTAAAAAAAAAAGTGACAACTCTAAATGCCCAGAAATGGAACTTTCAGATGGGAAAAAAAACGGTTTTATAAATAGTGTTAATTATTAGTATTAATGAAATATATTTTAGTGAAAATATAGACGTGAGGGCCGATTAGGAGCGTCTACATTCTTCTCAACATGATTGGGGCCGAGCTGAGTTGAAATGGTAGGGATGCGGCAACATCCGAAAATTGCACTCTTAGACTTAAATTATTTCTTAAGTGTCTTAATTTCACTTTTTAAACTCGTTCAATTGTACTTAGATCAAATAAGATTTTGTAAAATTCTACATCAGTTTCATTTTTAAGTTTCAGTTTCAGTTTATTTTTCAAAAACTCCATATTTTCATGTACTGAACAATTAAAAGGATTGCCAACAAAAGAGCAGAGCTCGTACACCATTGGCCACCTAAACAAAATTATTAACAATTACACGGACGAACATGATGTGATACATGACAACAGTGACAAAAACATGTTGGCAGGATATGAACTATATAAATGTATGCATGAATGTAAATATATAAAGGATCCTTATTGATATGTTAACAACAAATAATTTTTATACATCATTTTGAACATTTTGACAGATACTGAATTACGAATAGAAGCATCAATATTATTCCATAAAATCGGACCATGCCTTCGGATAGTATTTCTGGCCATATCGGTAACAAAACAATATGTGGACGGTACATATCAGAGGACCTGGTACCATAATCATGAACTGAATTTAGTCTAACAAAATAATTTGAAAAATTAACTGGTAATAAATTGTTTTTAAATTTTATACATAAAAATACCGTTAGATAATTTATGAATGTCATACACAGTTAAATTATTAAGACTGGCAAATAATAGTGGTGAATGTTCATGGAATTGTGAATTTGTATATAGACGCACTATGCGCTTTTGCTTGCGATAAACAGTTTCAAGACAACAATTATTATGATCAGCCCAAATGAAATTACAATATTAGATATGAGAAAGAACTAAGGTCTTATATAAAGATGATAAAACATTAACATGTAAGATTGGCTTTAGTCTGAAGAGAATACCAGAATATTTTGAAACTAAATTTTCAATATAAGTTGTATGTTGATTTCAAGTTAAACATTCATCCATTATTAAACCAAGATATTTGCAGCTAGTAACACGCAATATATTATTACCATCAATAGAAATATTAAGGTCCTTGTAAGTACGGTTACTATATCTATTTCTGAAAATCATATAGTTGGTTTTATTAACATTAAGTGATAGCTTATTTGCCTTAAACCAGCATGAAATAATCGAAAGATCGTAATTAACATAAGTGACGCAAGCTCAGAAGAGGGCTGTAAACTCGCACCGCACTGTATTGTTGAGTTTAAATGTCGTCGGCGAATAAAATTATATTTGAGTGTTTACATATGTAGGCCAAGTCATTTATGTAAATAATAAAGAGTAAAGGGCCTAAAATTGAGCCTTGGGGGACACCACACCAAGTATTTGACAAAAGGATGACTTATGGTAGTTTAAAAAAAACATATTGCATTCTATCTGTAAGATAACTGCTGAACCACTCAAAAGCGATACCACGAATACCACAATGATACAGTTTACAGAGTAGAATCTTGTGATTTATGGTATCAAATGCCTTTGAGAGGTCCAAGAAAATTCCAAAAACATGTTTCCTCTTATCAAGTTCGGAAATAATGTTATATGCCTGTAAAACAGCCATTTCAGTAGACATATTTAGGCGAAAGCCAAATTGGTTTTTATGCAATAGATTATGTCGAGAAAGATAGTTATAGTGTCTTTTATGAATAATGCTTTCTAAAATTTTAGAGAAAACGGGAAGGACCGAAATGGGCCTATAATTACCAAAGGTATCAGTCTCCCCACATTTGTAAACAGGAGTTATCTTGGCAGTGGAGGTGCTATTAGTTCACCAACTGATTTAACAAAATCAGGCATGATATCATCAAAGTGGCTACTAACACCAGATTTCAAATTTCTAACTATTTAGAGTATTTCATCTGTATCAGTTGGTGAAAAAAGAAAGATTTAAGTGGAGATTTAATTTCATTCATGAAACTTTTGAAAGTAACATCAGGCTGAGGAAATTTACGCAAGTATTCAGGACCAATGTTAACAAAAAATATTTATTAAAATTATCATCAATAACTTGAGGATCAGAAATGTGTATATCGTTTATTTTATAAAAAGATGAGATTGGTTTAGTCTTATTTAGTCGATCCATAATGCTGTTAAGAATATTCCAAGTTTGTTTTGAATTAAACTTTGTTTCCTCTAGCTTTCTGGCATAGGTATTGTCGTTTAGAATTTCTGATTAAAGAAGTAAGCTGATTACGATAAGTTTTGTTACATTGTTTACATACTTTTTATACAGCTTTCCTTTACGATTAATAGACTCTAAAATCGCTGCGGTAATCCCAGGCTTTTGAGGAATACGACGACGAGAAGTTTTGCTTAAAAGAAAAAGGAAAGTGCATATTGTAGACCTTTGTGAATTTACGAATGAATACGTTATACGCAAGCTCAGGAGAATCAAAGCCAGTAATACAGGTCCAATCAATAGTGCTCAGATCGTTATAAAAATTATAAACTCTAGTTTGGCTAAATAAACGGGTAGGGATCTTATTCGAGGTACTGATATTACTAATGGGATTGGATTTGGTGATTTGGTAAATTGGATAATGATCAGAGATATCGGCGACAACAATACCTTGATATTATGGGAAAAAGTATTGGTAAAAATATTATCAATCAAAGAGGCTGTAGTAGGTGTTATTCTGGTGGGTCTGTCGATAAGAGGAAACATGTTATGGTTATAAAAAATAGAAAGAAACTCATTTATAGTGTTATTTTCATTGAAATGCAACAGGTCGAAATTAAAGTCACCAGATATATAACATTGTTTTTCTTCAGAACTAATTTTTATAAGACAGTTCGTAAGATCATTAAGAAATCTGTCAGTATTAATACGATGTGCACGATAGATATTACCAACAATAATGTTTTTCTTAAAATAGATTCAGAAGGGTCTATATGCTGTGATGGTTGGTCGATCAATATTATATTATTCCTGATTCGAAACGGTATTGTTTTATGAACATAATTAGCAACACCTCCACTTCTTCTTTCACAAAGAGGTGCATATAATTAAATTATAGTTGTTTATATAAATTTCATTGGAACCATCCTCTCTAAACCATGTTTCTGAGAGTGCTATAATCGAAAAGGTGTGATTTAAACTTGTAAGGAACGCAGTAATCTGATCCACATTTTATTGAAACTGCGTGAGTTTATAATATACAAAATTGAAAAATCATGCTCATCACATGAACTGAGATAGTATTAACAAAATTGTAGGAACACGAATGGGGTATATTATAATGAATTACATTATTAGCGTTATTTATCACATAATTGAGAGCAAATAGATTAAGTTTCATATTTAACATTCTATTGTACTCAATATTATTATTAAAAATGAATAAAGCAAATTTAAATTCATCGTCATCAGCTTAATGGTTAAAAGGAAAGATAGTTCCAGTACAGTTAAAACAAATCCAGTCTACATTGGCATTAGCATCAGTATACTGATTGACTGACTGAAGGCTTCTAATGTCTTTTGAACAAAAATTACAGTAATTAATCATCTACATAAATATTCATAGAGTAGGATGTACAATAATAAAAAACCTATCCGGATCGGAGAATAAACATACAAAATAAAACATAGAAAGCTCCATGCCAACATACAACATATAAACAAATAAATATATTCACTTAACTACTATGGGCCTTAGTGAGTATAGGCCTAAGCGAAAATGATAGAGGTGACACGCATAACATGGAACTGGGAAGTTATCATAATGTAATAATGGGATTCATTATTCATACATAGGGAGAGTGTAGCAGGAATCTCAACATCCACGTTCAATTTTAAAACAGCAAAAACGATTTTGTAAAATTGTGAAAAAAGCCAGGATTTCTTCCGAAATTCGATGGAAACACATTGAATTTAAGATCGATTTTAGCTCCGATGAGAAGCTCTAGGAGTACTTGCCTCATTGATTAATAGATCTGTTTTGGTCATTGATTAATATGTCTTTTTGTATGGGCGGCTGTTAGGGCCAATATACTCCACTGCCTCCATTATGATGCTGATTGATTAATAGATCCTTTTAAGGTCCACGTCACCAATTTTGAACGGGCGTGCAGGAAATTTTGTACACATGAAATAGAGAGGAGTCCCAACAAACGATCATGGCCTTTTTTAAAAGTTGGACCCCAGGGTGGTCCATACACCTACAAAACAAACCAGGGGTTTTCAGCAAGGACTGTACATTACTGCCATTGCCACTAATAGGACACGTCGCATGGATGGCGTGACCGGTTAACGAAGAGTTCCAAGGAACCCACGGTCGTGAGTTTGAATCGTGTCTTGGTATTCATTTTTCAATTCAATTTATTCAATTTATTTTTTTAAAATTTTAAGACATTTAATTTTTTTCAATTTTAGCGCATTCTAATTTTGTACAAATGAACATTTTAATTGTTTAAAAATGTTCTATCTTACTAGCTTTTCCAATTTTTGTTGGTCAAACAGCTCTCAACTATCTTAGTATGTTCATTTATATAAAAATAAATAAATAAATACATAAATAAATATAATAAGCACCGAGGCGCGATTCGAACTCACGACCTTCGGCTCCTTACAGCTCAGCGTTAACAGACTGCACCATTTATGCGACGTGTCCAGTCAGTGGTAGTAATAAATGACAATTATGAACACTTGCCAAAAAATGTATATTACATATTTTTAATAAGATACAAAAATCTTGTAAAGAGCCAAATAAAAGTAAGATATTATATTTTTAGTTCCGATGAGGAGCTCTAGAAACACCAGACTGATTAATTGTTTGTTTGATTGATTGATTGATTGATGGATTGCTTGACTTTTTGATTGATTAATATATCCCTTTGTATGGGCTCCCGTTAAGGTCAATATACTTTATTGTCATATAATTATAAAGTAAATGAAATTTGTTTTCCAAGGTTCACAGTAAAAACAATGACATACTAAAATACAATACAAAAATACGATATAAAATAGGTTAACCTATGCGTAAAATGATATGAAACACTATAAATATAAAAACCGATAAACATTGCAAACAATTGCACTGTAGTCGAGTAAAAATATATAAAAGTGCAGTACACTTACATACTAGGATAAAATTCAAAATATCTCCAGTTATCTTTTAAATTTCTTATTGTATTGCCTGATTGCACACGGAAGAAATGATTTGTTATGATGCTCAGTCTTCTTAATTGATGAAATAATTCTACCAGATTTACTGAAATTAATATGATTAAACAGAGGATGGGACTTGTCATTAATTATACATTTTAGTTTTTTTCTCTATAGCCTTATCATATATGTCATAGATAGACGAAATGTCTGCGCCTATTACTTTTTTAGCCATAGTAATAATCCTCTGTAATTTATTTGCATTATTTTTAGATAAACTATTTAGCCATACAATACAACAAAAGGCTATTATGGACTGTATCATAGCCTGATGAAATAGGAACAATGTATCCTTGCCAATCTTAAAGTTCCTTAATTTTCTTAAAAATACATTCGTTGGTTTGCCTTTGTATAAAGTTTCGCGGTGTTAGCATTCCGTGTTAGTTTTTCGTCTATCCAAACACCTAAGTTTTTATGTTCACTAGTGGTGCAAACATCATTATCTTTGATACTTAAAGGTGACAGTTGCGTTTTGATTTTTGGAAAGTCAAATACAATTGCCTTAGTTTTTTCACATTGATACTTAGGCAATTCCTATCACACCAATTAATTAAATTATCAATTTCAGCCCTATAAGTACTCTCATCATTGCTTGCAATTAAGCCTGTGATGCAGGTGTCATCAGCAATTTTAACAATTTGACAAGATTCACTTATAAGATCACTTGTATATTATAAAGTTAATAAAAATGGAGACAACACACAACCTTGTGGGGCATTAGTGCTTGAGACAAGGTTGTGTGTTGTCTCCATTTTTATTCACATTATTATTATTATCAGAGCTTTCGAGATTACGAGAACTTGTTATTTAAGTGGTCGACTGGTTTTTATGCAAAAAGATCCTGAGAGTATCCTGACCCAGTTGGATCGAGAGATAACGCCCCACCTGGGTTAATTGGGCAAATTCCTTTACTACTTGGCCTGCACTAACAAGATCTGGGGTTTTAAACATATATTACGCTTCATACGGCGATGTAACACTTTAAAAATAACAAACTATTATAAAGAAATGGTAGAAGAGATATATCTGATGAACAATTGACAATTTATTCATCCTAGACACATTGCAAAAATTGAGATGGTCATGGACTGTGCGTTTTTAAACAAGCATTTGGTTGTATTTATAGAGCGATCGATAAAGTTTCGAAAGTAACACGATATTGAAATTTCTACGTAATTTGTCAAAATATTGCAATTTATGTACACATATTGGTATGCTAATGCAAATGGTCTGTCATTTTATAGCGCATAATAACTGTGTAATGTCTCTATTACCCAGTGTCAAGGGCAGCAACAGAAAAGGATCTGTCACCGTAGGCTTTAAACAAGAAGGACGATAAAGAATGGTATTAATAGAAGGTCATCAATGTACTGTGGAAATGAACAATGATGTGATTTATATAAGAAAAGAAGAATTTTTAATTAAGAGTATACGTTGCTCAACTTGTAGCCAGTGAAGATGGCGAAGGGTATGAGTTATATGCTGACGCTTCGGAGTAAGGGAAACAAGCCTGGCTGCAACATTCAGCTGCAGCTGAATTTTTCGAAAACTTTATTAGAAAGCACATAAACAGTATTACAGTAGTCGAGACGTGATGTAATTAAGGCATACACTAGCTTTGGCGTGGCATCATAATTAATAATGCGTCTAACTTTTTAGGTTTTACGAACAAGAAAAAAGAATTAATATTGAGTTCACCAGAGGCAAAGTATTCTCTCGCCGATTCATTTTATTCTCGATTTATATTAATTTGTCTTGACTCGTGCTATTATTCCTATGACTATGAAATTAAACACATTAGATGTATAATAAATTGATTTGAAATAAACATATTAAATGTATAGAAACATTTATCTAAACATTGTAAATCAAAAGATGAATTTGTTATTGTTGTTTTTATTCAAAGCATTCCTCAATTGCACCTTACAAGGCACAGCCTCAGATAAAAGTTACCACTGAAAACAACCATAATCAGCAACAACGGTGGCAGTACATGTATAAAATGGAAATAAAAAAAAACAAAGAAACAAACAAA